GCAGTGATTATAGCTGAGACTGGGCAGAAGTACAAGTAGGAGGGGAATTCTGGATGCTGAGAGGAGATCTGGGTGTAAATGCCTCTGCTGCAGATCAGGTGCAAGACTACCCCTTCAAGGAAAGACTAGCACTGAGTCTACAGTCTGCCAGAGACAAAGCCTGACAGCAGCCTCTACAAAGAAATAAATCTTGAAGAAGAGCCGGTACACTCCTCCCATGCCATGCATTAAGACAAAGGGATTAAAAATAAAAGGGTATTGAAATGCAAAGGGAATAAATGGAATATGGAAGTTAATAAAAGCTAGAGAAAGGAGATCTGGAGTATTGGTCTGCGCAAAAGCAATTCTTCTGAATTTAGCTAGACACAAAACATGTTTGGTTGAGGAAGGTAGAGGGATCTCTAACACAGTGTAAAGAAAGATAGAAAATGAAAGAAGAGATGATATGAAGAGTCTCAAGGTAAGGATTGGTGAATGTGAAGTCCTGAGACAGTTACAGGCCAATTCAGCCCTGGCATCTGACGAAACTGGTCCATAGGAAAGCACAGAGACCTTGCCAGGCCCATTTCAGTCCACCCCAGTCCTATGGTCAATGTAAAGGAAATAAGCATATGCTGTTGAAGGTACCCAGAGCAGAAAAGCACCACTCCTGCTAGCTCTGAGCATTCCTAGGGAGGGGATGAGTGAGCCAAAGACAACAGCTAAGGAAGCAAATTGATAAAGAGGATTTCACACCAGCTCACCTTCTACTGAACAGTAAATGTAACTGCTTCAAATCAAGTGCATCATCCAAGGAATGAGATTCAGGCAAATAAACTCATATTTATAAATATACTGACTCAGTGGCCATTGGTGGTAACAGTGTCTTTGCTCAGTGATGTGATAGGAGAGACAGTCTAGTGTTTTCATCTCTTCGACTCTCTGTTTTGCAGGCCTAATTTGTAGCTGTTGATTTCTATGGTGTAAATACTCCCACTAGGGATAGTTTTAGGCCCCCAACAAGACATCCTGGCACAATCCCTGGGTACTTGCTGGGTACCACAGGCTCCAAAGGTCAGAGCAAGCTGGATCTCAGTTGAGAGTTACTGTCTGGACTTGGTCTGACACAGGCAATATCCAGGATCCCGAAAGGAGAGTCTCTATGCAGGCCGGTCTGAGAATAACTACTTATCGGGGTGCTTACTAAACTTCCAGGGGCACACGTATCACCTGAGGGGCTTGGTAAAACACTTAGTAAGTACTGTGGTCTCTGGAAGGGGAAATGTGCTCCTTAGTTTTTTGTCACCTTGATGCAAGCAAAGGCTGTCTGGTATGAAGAAACCTTGACTGAGAAAATGTTCTTATCGGATTGCCTGCAGGCAAGTCTTGATTAGACTGTGGCATCTTCTTGATTAGACTGATGTGAGGGATCAACCTTGGGGCAGTGCCACCTGAGAAGATGTTCTTAGGCCATATAAGTAAACAGAGAGCAACCTACTAGTAAACAAACAGCAGTCCTCTATGCTCCGTGCGTCAGTTCCTTCCTCCAAGCTCTTGCCTTGAGTTCTCGTCCTGACTCCCCTTGACGGTGGATTGTGACTCAGATATGTAAGACAAAGCCTTTCCTCCCCAAATTGCTTTTGGTCATGGTGTTTTATCCCAGCAATGGAAAGCAAACTAGGATAGGAGAGCAGTAAACTTGAAGGACAGACAGTCATTCACAGGCTACTGCTGTCAAAAAACGTCTAGAAGAGAGTCTTACAAAATTCGTAACTTAAAGCGTGTGGGTTATGTACGGCCAAGGCTATACAGGTGTTTTATTTTACCCAAATGCATTTTACTCCTTAAATCTGAGTGAGATGCCAGTATGTTCATGGCTTCTCTTGAGGAAGGCGAGAGGAAGAGAAATGGAAATAGTGATCACACTAGAAAATGTGACAACGTGGCCCACTGCTCTGGAGGAGGCTATATTGCCCTTCCAGGAAGCAGCCTGTCTCCTGTCACTGTCTGTCACACTTCATCTCTAAAGGCATTTGAGAGATTTTTATATTTTAGACTTTTACATAACATATTTTCCTCCCCAGGTACTGTAGCCTTCTTTTCTTATTTCCCACAGATCAGCTGTGTATTCCTGAAATGCCTTAAATGGAGTTCTTAAAACATCAGACCATCCTCTCCCCAAATTCTAGATTGACCATGTTCCTACAGCATAGCCCATCCTTCTCAGTGGAAAACAATCCAAATCATTCTTCAAGACCCAGTTCAAACAACATAGCCAAGGAAAGCCTTCTCAACTCTCCCATGCTCCAAGAGCAGACTGGGTCTTCTTCTAAATACTGTTGTGCCAGGTTTGCAGAATTCCAGAGAGTAACCCAAGGAGTCAACTCTTCTGATGCAAAAGCAAAACATTTCTTTTAATTGTTCAACCTTGCCAGTTTGGATCTCACCCCATGGAGGGGAGATGAGATGCCAACCAGCCAAAAAGAGAAGCTTTTAAAGGGGAAAGGGAGAAGAAGAGTCTCAGTTTGCAAGGTTCCCATGGTTACATAGATTACTTAGTACACATGGCTTCCATACAAGGTTATCATGAAACGAAGGGCCTTGAAGAAGGCAGTAACTGTCACCTGGTTAGGCAAAATTAATTGTCACATCTTGTGAGCTAAAAGTTTTACAACTGGTAGGGCAAAAGGCTGTCTGGCTCCCAGTTCTCTCAAGATAAGGGAGCAGTTGTTGACACAGTTACTCGTGGGTTTCAAGTTTCCTTTCTTTCTGGGAGCCCTCTGTGGTCTCTGGTCTCATAGCCTGTGGTCAGAGGTCCCTTGTTTAGCTAGGATCTTTTCTTACTTTTCCCACCACAATACTAACTACTGTCTTGGCTCACTTGGGGTATATTCTATTCTCTGAGGCCCCACAAGGGTCTGGAAAAGCTTTATTTGATTTTCATATTATCAAGGAAATATAGTTTTCCATATAGCAGATTCTCAATAACTTAATCAAATGAATAAAATTAAGAATTAACTTTTGACTCTTATAACATTTGATTGTCTGTTGTTAATTTTTTCAAAGGAATTTTTCAATACTGTGCTAACCTATAACATGCAAGGACCTGTCCCTCTGTAGGCCATTTCTTCTACTCTCAAGTTTTGCTGTCAGTCACTCAATATATGGAATATTATTTATTCCATAAGTCTTGTCCTAGATAAATAAGGAGAGGCCACTCATAATTAAATACTTCTTAGTAACTCATACTTCCATGACATGGCCACTTGGTTACCTTGTTTCTGCTTTTGAGACAGAGTTTAACCATGCCACCCAGACTTCCAGAAACATAAAATCCCCCTGCCTCTCTACCTCCTTCAGTCTTGGGATTAGAGGTGTGTAACACCACACCTGGGGTAATCACCCTTTCCAAACCATTTTTGCTGACATAGTTTACTCTTCCACCATCCCTATAAAATATAAGTGCAACATATGACCTTTGATTAGTATTTAGATGCTAAAGTGACATGTCCTCCCCAGAGTAGGAAGAACGAGAGGCAGAAAGCTCTGCCTACCTGTGATGTCTTAGGGGAGATCTGTGACCTTTCTGAGCATCATCCCTCAACAGTTCTTGAAGTGGATCTATCTCAGTCTACTTTAGCATATTATTTAAAAACTGGGACACAGACATGTTCAGTTAGCCGATGCTAGAGGCAGAAGTAGTATCTGGTCCTTCAATAGTCAGTGAAGATGCTTGCTGCTTGTGCTCACGGTCACAATGACAATATAACTACACCGTAGAACAAATATGTTCCTAATTATGTATATGAGTAGGAAGAGTAGTAACTCTGTAACTTCTCAAAAGGCACATTCAATTCGACAGTCCTGATTTCTCCTTTTAATTTGATGCAATTAGCTGTAGTGGGTAGCTCTAGGATGCCCCAATTCAATTGTTTTGTCAGAGAGCACAAAAAGTTTTTAATCTATAATAAATTTACAAAGATCTAGACCCTGAAATACTTTTAACTCAATGCTATGTACTCATTATTTGATGCCTTTTAGAAAATACATCATAGGTGAAATGACAGCAATTTAGTATACTCATCCCCAACAATAAATGCAACTCAAATTAATAAAAATCAGCACTGATGAAAGCATTCTCTGGTATCTCCTAGTGGTAGATAAGAAGAGATTAAAAAAAGAGGCTCCCTGTGTTTAAAGAACTTATTCTAAAGGGGCAGAAATGGCAGTATGAGAAGTCATAATGATCCATTTCTCATGCATTTACAACCACTTTCTGAGAATTTTAAAGCACCCTCAGGATACAGCCACTCATGAAAGCAAGGCAGAATTAGGACTTCCTGTCCAAGGTGGCCTGGAAGCAGTGGGGAGAACATTGCTAAAGGTCTTTGGAGGCCCCACGGTCCTACTGTCTTTAGATTCCAACCACTGCTCTTCTCTTGACGCCTGTCTTTATCGTTTCCGTGCCATCTCTACCCCTTGATTTACCCCTGTCCTTTAAGTCAAGAGGGGACATGTGTGCTGTTCCTTCTCCCTTTATAAATTCATGAATACAAATTCGAGAAAGAACTAAGACAAGGCCTTTTTCTGCAGTGTATATTTGTTGTGGATGGTTTTAAGTCTGTGAATTAGCAGATACATGCAAGAACCTGTCTGGAAACTACATAAGCAACTGGGACGGAAGTTGGGGGAAAGGAGAAAAAAATGAATTACCTTTGGGATTTTTTAATTATTTGAAAGATTTTTCTAAAATTTTAATTATTTTAAACAGTGTGTGTGTGTGTGTGGTGTCGTGTGTAGTTATGAGGGGGAGTTGATGTGAGTGAAGAATCACCCCTTGGGCTGCACTTAAAGTCTTACCACAAACAATATATCTACGGGACAAGAAGGGATGCTGCCCCAACAGAAGAAACAAATCCCTCCTCAGCAAGTAAGCCCCGCAGGTTAAGTTCTGAGAATTCAGGGATTTTCTTGGTGAAGAAACAAAAGGCAGCCAGAAAGGGGAGCAGGGACCTCCTTACCCCCCAGCCAGGTGTCAGAGATGTTCTGGAGCATGGTGACCGGGATGCAGAAGAAGACAATGAGCAGGTCGCTGAGCGCCAGGGAGCAGATGAAGATGTTGGTGACCGTGCGCATGGCCTTGCTGCGGGTCACCACATAGACCACCAGGGCGTTGCCGAAGAGCGCCAGGGCGAAGATGAGCAGGCCAGCGAGCAGAAGGGCCAGCCTGGCTCTCGCGGGCAGCTGCGGGGTGAGCACCAGTGGTCGCAGCCCATAGCGCGCGATGAACTGTGCGCGCGTCAGGTTGTGCAGCCGCAGCAGCTCAGAGAGCTGCTCTGAGGTCAAGTTCCACTGCATGCTGGGCTCCACAGAGGCCGGGGAGGAGGAGGAGAGAAGCGATGCCGCGGTGCGAGCCGCACGAGAGAAGCTGGCAGTGACCAAGGCAAAGGCAGCGCTGCCCGCCAAACAGTTGGCAGTTCTAAGAAAGTTCCCAGCCAGGCGCTGGGGTCCTCAGAAACTGCAGAAACCTCACAGAGCCTCGTGAGGCGCCTGGTAACTGGCGCCTCTTGCTCCTCAGTTTTGTGGATCCTAGTTGAGCTGAACCCCGCCCCTCCGCATACTCCCCAGCCCCTAGAGGGCTGTCTCCTTTGCAAAGCAGCTATCATGCAGCATCCTTCCTTGTCAAGAGCCACCCTGCTGCCTGCTGTAGAGGTTATAAAAGCCTCTTGGCTCTCCTCTTGTGCAATCATGGATGGGTCATAACTACCCATGGAAAAACGGGGTTAAGCATTTTCTGCATTGAAATAATAATTACAGAATAGTGGCTGCAGTCACAAATAAAAAGAGGGTCTCGGGCATATGCTCAGATTTTTTTCTCTCTGCCGTGTCTCAACTATGTATAGTACAATACAAACTCAGAAATTTTCGGTTTACAGTACAAACAAACCCAGAAACTTACTGTAACAACAGTTGGGTTGTCTCCAGCATTGGCCTATTACTGATGAAACCACTATGAAAAAACACAAGCTGCTTATGGAATGGATATAGTTTGCAGTTCTGTTATAGGAAGCACTGAGAAGTTTGTCGAATCTGTCAGGTTGTCCCGGCTAGTTGTTTGTTTGCTTGCTTGCTTGTTTTTAATCAGCTTGACACAAAGTAAAGTCACCAGAGAAGAGGAAACAACCGTTGAGAAAATGCTTCCTTCATTGGTCTATAGGCAAGTCTGGGGAATACTGTCTTGATTAGTGACTTATAAGGGAGGGCCCAGCTCTCTGTGAGCAGCGCCGCCGCAGGCATGTAAGTCTGGATGGCATAAGAAAGCAAGCTGGGCAAACCATGCGAGAGCAAGCCAGTCAGCAGTACTCCTCATGCCTTTGCATCAGTTCCTGCCTTCAGATTCCTGTCCTGACCTCCCTCAGTGATGGAGTGTGACCTGAGAGCCGTAAGCTGAGATAAAGCCCTCTCCTTCCCAACATACTTCTGGTCACCATGCCTTATACATTTTGGGGTGATTCCATTTTAGTGAAATCAGGGTCATCACTTGGAGTTCTTAGCCTAATGAAAGGCATTTAAGAAGAGCCTCAAAAGGAATCTCTGGTACTCTTAAATTGTAAAAGAAAACCTTTAACGCTACCCATACTACTATAACACACACACACACACACACACACACACACACACACACACTCACACACACACAAAACCACACCTTAAAATCATTTAAGAAATGGCCCAAAACTGAGGAGGATGCAACTTATTTCTTCCATGAAAACCTAGAGATTTAGTTCCAAGGCTTTGCAATAGAAGGGGCTGGTATCTGGACTGACGTTCTAGTTGCCCCCTCATGCAAAGCCTCCAGACAAGATGTTCATACAGAAGATTAGGAATCCAAGCTCCTTACTGGCATGGCTGACTAGAGAACCAAGAACATTTCTGACCTTGCTGCTTTTGGGTCTCTGCCTATCTGGTTTCCATGTTCTGCTCTCATCCTTCTCCCCTATGGCCCTAACTGCCGTTTAAGGGATTGGAGTGTTGATTTATTTGACTTCTTAAAGCTGAGTGGAGTAGTTGGGTGTTGAAGTTGGGGTACCCTTCCAGTGGGACTATATAGAGAACCCAAAAGTAATCAGTAGTTACATTATTTATTTATAACTTACCACAGTATGCTGGTGTCTGTGTACCAATTTGAGCCAAATATAAAAATCTTAGCTTTAGCTTTCTATAAATATAACTGTCAAGTATTTCTTCTACAGCCATTTAGAATGACCTGATCCTATACATTAAAAAAATTCAAGACTTTTAAGAGGAAATGGAAAAATCTAACTTTATTCCCATTCTTATTATGTCTACTCTTCTTTCTTTTCATGCCAGGGTTTCCTATTGAATAATTTCTTTCAACACACACACACACACACACAATGTACACATGCACACCCACACATGCAAACACACATACACACACAATATACACATGCACACATACTCGTGCACACACACAAAAGCACTGGGAGGTCAGAGGATAACTTTCAAGAGTCTTGTCTCTCTGTACACCTTGTGGGATCAGTCTGGGGATCAGATTCAAGTCATTAGGTATTTGCTTCTATTCAATGAGCCATGCTGTTGGCCCTAGATAATTTTCTTTCTTATATTATTTTGTGTTTAGGAGACTCTCTTTTGCTGTCTGTTTTAAGAAAGCTAGAAACAAAATCATTCCTTTTGTCTTTACTAAGGAATGTCCCAAATTTCCCTTTATTTCTGAAAGACATTTTAACTGGCTATGTCCGGGTTGGAAGGTTTTTCAAGTTTTTCCCTAGCATTTGAAAAACTTTCTTACCTCACTCTGGTTTCTGTGGTCTCTAAGGTGAAACCTATTGCTACTTGGATTGATCTTCCTGCAGATGTGATATCATCTCTTATTATTATTTTAAGACTTTATTGCCCTTTACTTTCAGAAGTTTTGCTGGTGTTACCAGATTTGGGATCATAGCCTATGTCCTGACAAGCTAGGTTCAAGCACCCATTCTAAACAAAACAACTAAATGAGCCCAATAATAGTGAAAAGAGAAAAAGACTTATTCAATTGGATCCAGTTGGGAAGAAGTAAATTGAGGTCCCAGTCTGTGCTCAGGGTCCTGGCATGATACTGATGACAGAGTAGTGTATATCTGAGTGGCCCCTAGCCCACAGATGGGCCTGCTCACCACTGACCATTTTGTCTCTTGTGGAAGGTGGTCATCCAGTTATCAATCTCTGGCTAGTCCAGGATTTTGGTTTTCTCCTCTCCCAGCACAAGATTTTTGGGGGGATCATAGTTTCTCGAGGCCCATTGTTTTAGCAGTCTGAAACCCAGAGTTAGGGGCACGGTATATCTCCAAAATATCTACATCCCTGCTATGCTAGTTACAGGGCATGTATATTCATGCTTACTTCTTTTGGCAATCCTATTTGGATTTTCTGATCCTCTTGAATTCTGAATGTACTATCTGTTACTATATCTTGGGCATTTTACCATTTATTTCTTTATATTCTTTTTTTAAAAATCTTTAGATTTATAATTTTATTTTATGTGTTTAAATGTCTTTGCCTGCATGTGTGTATGTGAGCTATAAGAGTGCCTAGTGCCTGCGGAGGTGAGAAGGAATAGGATCCTGTGACACTGGAGTTAAGATGGTTGGGAACCACCATATGGGTGCTGGCAATCAAACCCTGGTCCTCTGCAAAAGCAATGAGTTTTTTAATTGCTGAGTCATCTCTCCAGCCCTCTGTATTCCTTTTTTAAGCTCTACCTTCTGTCTCCTCCCCTTCTGGACTTTGATTGCTAAAGGGCCACACTTTTCAAAAGGAAAATATCAGCTTGGGGACCCCCAAGACCAATTTCTCAGCACAAATGAAATTTATTTGCCCCACAGGGACAAAGAGCAGAGGATAGGAGATAAAGACAGGAGGTACAGGATGGGAGAGAAGGGAAAGGAAACCAAGAGAAGAGGGCAGGGGTATTTGTCCTGGAGGACAAAAGACTGCCTCTGGATAGAGAGGAGACAGATAAGGCACTTAGGCAAATTGTTTTTTTCTTTTTAAGGTAAAATGGGAAACCCCCTGTTATGATGAGGTGTTTAATTTTAATTGGGGGTGTTAATTAGGTGAGTCAAAGGGGACTTCTGATGACTGGATTTAAATACTCTGTTAGACCTTGGTAGTCAGCCTCAAGAGAAGGAAATGGTCAGATAAGGGAATAGACCATTGGGGATAGTTTTAGGAATGTAATCTAACAGTTTTTAGCAAGACATAGGAAACCCAGGAGAAGGGCAAGTACTGCCAGAACCACATGTTGGAGTGGGCTAGTGTCCCTTCGATTTTCTCTCATTTCTTGTCTTCTTTAAGGAAAAAAAATCAGTTGAGAAACATACACTTTAAGCAGAAGTTCACTTGGCAAAGTGACAACATACTCCAGGCAGCTGAACCAGAGTGGCTAACAGTGAGAAATTTCATATAGCTATTATAAAAGAGGGCTTTGATGAATATTTATGAGAAGGTATATTCATGGAAGTAAGGTTGTCCCCACCCCCAAATCATGGATCAGTTCTCCCTTTTAAGGTACTTTTTCCTGATAGAAGAGTCAGTACACACAATGCAAATGAAATTCTAAATAAAGATAGCAACAGGCAGGGTAGCTAAAGCTTTTGATCCCAGAACAGAGGCAGAGGCAGAGGCAGAGGCAGAGGCAGAGGCAGAGGCAGAGGCAGAGGCAGAGGCAGAGGCAGAGGCAGAGGCAGAGGCAGAGGCAGAGGCAGAGGCAGAGGCAGAGGCAGAGGCAGAGGCAGAGGCAGAGGCAGAGGCAGAGGCAGAGAGGCAGAGGCAGAGGCAGAGAGGCAGAGGCAGAGGCAGAGAGGCAGAGAGGCAGAGAGGCAGAGGCAGAGAGGCAGAGAGGCAGAGAGGCAGAGGCAGGGGAATCTCTGAGTTCAAGTTCATCCTGATCTACAAAGCTAGTTCAATAACAGTCAGAGCTGTGCAGAGAAACCCTATCTCAAAAAAAAAAAAAAAAAAGGAAAGAAGGAAAGAAGGAGGGAGGGAGGGAGAGAGAAAGGAAAGGAGAGAGCTAGTTCTTAGTATGCAAAGCCTTCCTTAGTGTGCACATGTGGCAACTGAGGAAGTTCTCTTAGCACTTTGACTAGGATTTCATTGCAGTTCCCAGGCTACCCACAAGAGAGCATCATGACCATCAGGAAACAGCTGCCAAGACGCGTCTTCAGTTTCCTTGCCTACCTAGTCTCATGATGATATAAATCTTGTTATATTCCCAGAGGTATCTAAGATTCCATCCAACTTTGGGAATGGGGGTCTAAAATTTTTTTGAATTTTATTAGAATAAACTCTGGCCATTAATTCACACATTGTCTACACTGCTTCTGCACAATAATTGTATATTAATTGCTCATTTGTGGAAGAGCAATGGAAATGGAAAATATCTCCTATTTGATGCTTTACAGAAAATGTTT